ACTGGGGTAATTGGGATGCATGTGTCAGAGGCAATGCGATTGGCACAGGATAGAGCAGGGTTTAGGGCCGTTGTACACAGGGTCGCTATGAGTCGCAAATGACTCGACAGTACATAACAACAACAACAACATTATGTTATTGTGATAAAACCAAAAGTGATTTATTTGATGGTCACTTAAATTCTGCTATGAGTCGCAGGTAACTCAACAGCACATAACAACAAACCTCTTTTGTCTTTCAGGCCCCAAACCCCAGCCAGTCTGTGCTGTGCACCTTAAGCAGCACTGCCACTTACAGAAGCAATCAGGAGGGGGCAAAATTCTACAACAACCCCGCAGTCTACTCTTAACCCTGTCCCACTGCACTAGAGCAGCAGGAAGCCCAGCGCATCACTCACCAATAAGATGCGATCCCTGAGGCTGCACCTTCCAGTCGACTAGTTAGACTTTCAACCCACACTTAGCTTTCCTTGGGGTTTACTGGTGGCGGGGTCGCTGTGTACATGTCTCACTAGGTATGGGTACCCATGGAAGGCACACGTCAACTTTCTGGTCCAAACCTGAGGTCCAGGAAAGCAAAATGCCCAAGAAATGACTCAGACCTTCATGTCGTGAGGGCTGAGACAAGAAGAAAGGCTTACAAACAGTCAGGTCCACAGAAATTTTCTTTTCTCTGTCTCCCCTTTCCCTTCTCAAGCCCCTGCTCTCATACTCCTTTCACCCTCCAGTATTCACCCCTCAAGCCACCCCTCACCCTCACACGTCACCTCACTCTCACCCTTCTCATCCCAGCTTCAGCCTCTTCTTCCTCCCCATTTACCTCCTACGCCCCTCTTTTCACTACCTTCCTCCTCCCCCAGTGTTATCAGAATTCTAGGGCAGTCAAGAAGAAACTGTGCATATTCCTGGTATTCTAGGGGCAAGGGGGCCAAAAGCCTTTCGTAAATACAGGAGAAATACTTTCAAGTAGACAAAGGCAATCCATTTATCTTTAGAGAAAGAAGGAATTGAGAACTTATTTTAAATTGTTTCACTTTGAGGGTTACATCGTGAACTATCTGGTGGCAAATCCTGACTGTATATCACACAAAAAGCTTTTAATCACTTAAATACCTAAATACAAAACCATAAATTTCACTCCAGTGTGAACCCTTCACTTGGTCATAAATCCATATACACCTTTCTCAAAAAGACCTGTAGAAAATGCTGTGATTTATTGCTTAGCTTCAATATAAATGATGTTAGGTGTCATTGAGCTAGATTCTACACATAAACACACTATGAACAAGAGATCTGAGCCTTGCCCTGGCCTGCACCGTCCTCCTAACCTCTCCATGTTCACGCCCACTGTTAAATTCACTGTAACAATCTATCTTGTCAAAGGCCTCCCTCTCTTCTGTTGGCCCTCTACCTTTTCCAGCCTGATGTCTTTTTTAAAGGACCTCCTTCCTGAAAATATGCCCAAAGTATGGAGATGAAGTTTACCACCCTTATTTCCAAGGGTGTACCCTGGTTGCACTATCTCCAAGAAAAACCTATTGGGGGATTTTTGGCAATACAAGATAAATTCAGTAATCTTCACCAACACCACAATTCAAAGATAGAGATTCCTCTTGTATTTTCCTTATTCACTGTCCAATTCTCAGATGCATAGGAAGCACCTGAAAATGTCATGGCTTGGACTGCGCACAATCTTAGTCTTCAAACTGCTATCATCGCTTCTTACTGTTTTTGAGAGGTCCCTGACAGATTTTCCCAATATAACACATCTTTTGATTTCTTGACGGCTACTGCCATAGATACTGACTGTGTATCTAAGTAGAATGAAATCACTGACAGCCTCAATGTTTTGCACATCTATCATAACATCATTAATTGCTCCAATGCTGAGATTTCTGTTTTCTTGATGTGGAGATATAATCCATATTGAAGGTCGTAGTCTTCTTCAGTGCATGCTTCAAGTCTTCTTCACTCTCTATAAGCAAGGTCATATCATCTGTTGAATGCAGACTGTTGATGAGGTTTTCTCCAATCCTGATGCTACATTCTTCTTCACACAGTCCGGCTTTTTTTTTTAAATTATTATTAAATTTTATTA